CGACCCGAGTCGGGTAGCTCGGTTACCACATGCCCAAAAATATACTCAACAGATATGTTCTTTAGCATATGTTGCATAAGTAGGCATGAGTAAAGATGTCACCAGGCTTTTGATTACGCTTATCACACAGGTAATCGCCCTATCACATTAGTTGTGAGTAATAGGATGAGACTATGTCGTATTCATATTACGTGTATGTAGTATGGATTGTATTTATACTTTTGTTGTATAAATATATTTTTACAGTCGCCTTAGTAAGTCTAAGATGAGACTCTAACGAGTCGAATATGAAATAATCCTGATTTCATATCAAAGCCTTGAAGCCGAATCTCGAGTGGAAGATAAATTGTTAAGTATATTTATCAAGTGGCTCGGGTTAGATACTTGAGTAGTATCTAGACTAAAGATTCGTATAAAATAGTAGAGTGACATGCCCATCATAGTGGGAGCTATGTTATGACACGTATATCATACTGCGTGTGCTTTGAACGACCGTTAAGGATTGACAAATGATTCCCTACTTTGTCAAGGTGTGAATCCTATGGATTATGTTGTCCAATTTTTCACGAAGCCTTTTGACTTAGAACTATGTTATGAAATTGAGACTTAGTGTTGCTACTTTAATATGTCATCCAAGAACTATGATCGATACAGTTCGACGGAGCATGTTAGGAAAGCAACTAAGTTGAGATGAAGTTTCATTAGTGTCTAAGAAATAACTGATTCAACTTCACCACACTAGCCCGGGCGGTTGTATTTGAATATAACAATGTTGTGTATATAGCATATAGGGACTGTGTATGCTATCGGTGATTTTTGAACAGTTAGAGGTTGTCGTAAATATGAAAGTGTTATGTTAGTTAGATGGTAACTTAATATAACGCTGTTGTCGTTGCATTTGGTCGTATTACCCATATGAGGCAAGAGATTTGCTAATAAAGATTTGTTGTTATAGTCTCGGCTTAAGTGGCTGAGTGGAGTATTGTTTTTAATTGATGATATGTTGCATCAATTGGTAACATCCACTTAAATGTGGTGGTGTTACAATTTCATCTCCATTATGTATGGAGTTATGAAGTGAGTTATGAGTGAATTCATGTCTTCATTAAGTGTGAAGTCATGTCTTCATTAATAGTTGTATTAAGACAACTATAAATAAGGTGCTTGTGTGCATCTTGAAAAGTGAACAATACGAGACAAGAAAACAAGTTATAGAAAATACATAATCTTTATATAGTGCTTTTCTCTTGTTGAGCCGAAATCATCAAGGCGGCTCGGGTTTTAGAACGTGGAGGATACCGACGACTCTAGTAGTCGTCGGATAAGAGATATACGGACAAGTAATCGCTTCCGCTACATAAAGGTCACATATATATATATATTTATATATGTGTTATATAAAACCACTAACACAATAGAATTTCAATATTTCTAATAGAAAGCATAATTTGTAGAATAAAACGTAAACAACCCATAATTTCTTCCCACTCATCACTTTGCAAAAGGGTCTAAATTGGAGTTTCAATATTGAATTTCAATATTTCTAATAGAAAACATAATTTGTAGAATAAACCATTAACAACCCAAAAATTTCTTCCCACTCATCACTTTGCAAAAGGGTCTAAATTGGAGTTTCACTTTCTACAAAGAATACAGAGCATAACCAAAAAATAACACAAAAGTTACAGTATATCATAGCCTAAATCTCACAAGCTCAATCTTGAATCTTGATTATCAAATAAGTAAAATTGAAA